CCTTTTATGTCTCCTAACTTCTGCACTGGGCACAAGTTCTGAATATGGCACTGCAGAGTCCAGATGACTCAGAATATTGCAGAACTGCCAGGAGGGTTCAACTCTGTCAACAGAACTTTGCAGTGTATTCAGGTAAAAACATCCTCGAGACCTTCAGACTTGTTTCAGCTCAACATCTACATCCCCTACACAGTTCCTTCAGATCCTGACAGTCAGCAGATGCTTCCGTCCTTGCTGCTGACACATGAGGAGACTGCCCAATTCTTGTTCCAATCTGTTCTGAGCCGAGAATGGATTGGTTGGCCTTGTGAAGAAAGTGTCCTGCGCGCTATGTTCTCGCCGGCAAGAATCACACAGGACACTCGGATCCTTCTGCAGGAAAGCTTTAATGCATCTTGAGAGTGGGAGAGCATAAGCTTACCAGAGTGGAGACCCCAAGCCAAGAATCCCATCCCTAAATAAAGGCTGGCAGCGGCCGCCTGGCCTGGGACGTGTCACCCTTTGAATGGCTTCAGCTCCTCAGGCCAAATGAGCCACGGGATAGGCAGAGATCAAAGGAATGGAAATTACCTAGCGCCTGCGAAATAATTTACATTTGGTGCCTGCAGGCACCATCATTGTAATGGAGAATGCAAGGACGGCTCCCTACAAAGAAAGTCCCTCTCAAGTTCATCTGACTATCCAGTGGACCACATAGAACCACAGGAGTTACTACTGAATTGTCAGGTAAAGAAATAACATGGACTAAACCAGTGTTATAAATACAAGTTAAAGCCACCAGCAACCATGAAAATGGGATTAGGGGAAACCGTGGTAGTGGTAATGGTAATTGTACATGATGAGTACCATGACAACCATGGAGGCAGAAACATTTGACATTGCAGTACACATCATGGTCCTTGAACTGTGATGGCAACAACAGTAGATGCTGCAGACATTACTTAACTCAGTATGGACAAGGTAAGTGTGCAGGCCTCTGAGACTGCACAGCACTGAAAGGCATGGATCCATACCCTGACCTACTCCATCAGAGAAGTCTTAGATGGAGATCTGGACTCCAGAGCCTGCTTGAAGTCATTGTGTTAAGTGCTTTAGGTTGGGTGTAAACTAGAAACAGAGTGGGTAATATCTTAGGGAAGGAACATCTATGAGAGTAAAGGAAGCACCACTGAGCAAGGGAGAAGTCAGTGAGACAGAGGTCACGGTTGATCAATTGGGTACCCAGGACATTGTGTTCCTAAGAATTATTCAAAATAGAGGCTTCGAGGCTACAGACAGGGATGAAGGGCAAGAGCTGTGCAAGTGTAGCTAAAGGAAGAGTGCAGCCCCTCTGCTCAGCAATCTTTCAGTGTTTGCCTAGGTAGCTTGGTTTTTGATATAATAATGGCAAAAAGGAGATGGTATACATTTACTTCTTTGTGGTAATAAAGGTAAAGACCCATGGAAATTTTCACTGCTAAGTACCCATCTTAGAGCAATTGATCGGCTTTTCTTTCTTATGAATTTTGTAAATATGTGTGGTGGGAGTGAGCTCACTGTCTACAATGGTAAAAGATGGTGTACCCCCCTCCTGGAGCTGTAGTTCCAAGTGCACTGCTGCAAGTGGGTGCCGCAGACTGTACTGAGGTCCTCTGCAAGAGCAAACAAGAGTTCTCATCCACTGAATCTTCTTTACAGGCTTCAGTTTTATTTTTATTTATTTACTCATTCTCTTCCCCTTCCAGGGGAATGTAAGGATCAGACATTCAGTAACTTCATCTCACTCCCACAGCTGTTATTACAACACTAGAGTCATTAGTCCAGTTCTTACCATTTCCACCATTTGAGACAACCTCTGCATGTATGTAGTGGGATTATACATATATGCTTGCTCAATGCACATGTGCATGCCACAGCACGGTGTGGAAGTCAGGACAACATGGGTGTTAGTCATCACCTTCTACACTGGGACACAGTCTCTTGTTCGGCACTACATACAGAGGCTGCTGGCCCCAGTCCTCAGGGATTGTCCTTTCTCTCTTTCCCTCTCTCATAGTCACACTGGGGTTGTATACATTTACTGCTGTGACTGGCTCCACCAGGTTCTGAGGATCCAACTCAGTTTTCATGCTGTGAGGCAAGGTCTTTTACTAACTGAGACATCTCTCTGGTCTTACTAACCGCATCATGCATCTTTGTATAAAGAAATGTGTCAAACATTACTGGTGAATTAAACTATTAAGAACGAAATCTTCACCATCTTGATTTTCCATTGTGCTTAGTTTTCAAGGCCAGGCTCAAAGTGTATAGGCTCATTATCGATGGAGTAAAATGATAAAAGCTCCAACCATCCCATAAAAGACAAATGTTCAGAGACCAACAATCAACAGAATTCCAAAATATTAGCTAGTAACAGCCAGTGACTTTGACTGAAATGCAAAAACCACCCAGCAATCACTTTCCATTTTCCCACCACAGATTCTGCTTTTGCTGTTAAGTCTAGATAGTAGCAGTGTACTGGAATATCACAAAGTAGTTTGAAGCTCTTCTTCTTGTTCATATTTTATTCTTAACCTTTTTGTTTGTTTGTTTGTTTTTGGTTTTGTTGTTGTTTCGAGATAGGGATTCTCTGCATAGCTTTGGAGCCTGTCCTGGAACTAGCTCTTGTAGACTAGGCTGGCCTGAAACTAACATGAAGAAATGCCCAACAGCAATACCCCCCTCTCCAATTCTGGCTATCTTCTTTAGAAACACCACTTCTTATTTTTGCAAGGCCATGTTTTTCAACAGTATTTGTCAGCCTGCCTCTCTTACTCTCTCCACTTCCTTTTCTACTTGCCTCTCCTTTGGTTCAATAATCCTGAAATATTCACACACTTAGAAAAACTTAACACAGTTTAACACTGAAGGCTCAGGACCATGAACAGTGCCAGCTGTTGCCCTGTAAAGGGGGCCAATTGAAACTTTGTTATATTATTAAACACATTTCCTGTAGTGGCTTAAAGTGGATAAGGTTCTAATCACAACAGCAAACTCTGGACTAAGCAGCATGATTTCGCTTCATGGATGGGTAAAACATTAATACTACTACAAAGGGCAAATAGCACGTATCAGCTGTCCAGTGATACAGTGACTCAGTGTACTGCACAGATCTTTTAAGCGACTGAGCCCAATAAACTGGAAAGCAAATCTGTGTGCTTTAAGGCTGCACATCTACAGTGTCAGTACAATTATCAAAGGTTGGGTCAAGGATGAGAAGTGGGTATGATTCAGAATGCAAAATTAGTTCTAGATACAAAATGAAATAAGCACAGGCCATTTTGTTTGATGTATGTGTCTTAACAACTGAAACAATCACTTTGGCTATCTTTTGAAACTGGTGAATTGACAAAGGGGTCACAGGAACTTTCACCTGAACAGAAGCAGCCTGACAGCTTACTATCTTTTTGGTAACTGCTGCTCTAACAGTGGCTAAGCAGCAAACAAGCTAATACCACCCACTTTTATCCACACACACTACAGGTACTACTGCTGAAAGACTTCACCCCCAGCTGACCCTTTCTTTCCAGTTACTCAATGTAAAAACATGTGATCATTCTTGACACATACTCCTGCCTTGTTTTATTACCTGGCACAAATTAATACAAAATATAAGCACTTCAAATGATGTCAGGTAGCTCACCTCCCTTCCATTTACAGCTTGTAGCCACAACACAGTAACAAGCCATAGGCATCTTTCTTCTGGAAACTCCTAGGAACTCATCTTTGACTGCTTGACACAGTTTGTGAAGTAGAATGAACTCTTCACTGAGATGGCACTGACCCCTCCTTTAGTATAACCCTGACTGTACAATGTTTAAGTAACCCTTCATGTGCTACCTCAGATCACCACTTCCCCAACTTGCCCTGAGGATTCTTGCTGGCAGAGACCAGGAAGGGAAGAGGCCTCAGGACTGTCATTCAAGAATGTGGGTGAAGCCGGGCACGCCTTTAATCCCAGCACTAGGGAGGCAGAAGCAGGCAGACCGCTGTGAGTTCGAGGCCAGCCTGGTCTCCAGAGCGAGTGCCAGTGCCAGGATTGGCTCCAAAGCTACAAAGACCACAGAAAAACCCTGTCTCAAACCCCCCCCCCCCAAAAAAAAGAAAAGAAAGAATGTGGGTGGAAACAGAAAAGTGATTTGAATTCTTAAGAGAATTCTCATTCTTCCCATAATTCACACATTCCCTACTCAGGCTCCTCTGTTACATGTATTTACCTTTTTATACTACTAATCTTTTTACATCACTTGGCACTAATAGAAAAAGACAAAACAGAAGTTTTCTCACATGCAAGTGGTTACATATTGTTTCTAATACCATTTGGTCAGGCCACTGCACAAGTGGAATTGTGGGCTCAATCCCAGAGTATGAATCTGACTTTTATTTACATTCACATGACAAATCTTGAGATGTTATTAGAACTATTCAGGTTGTCTTTGTACCACTTGCTTTTCCCTATGGTCTGGAATAACCAAAGCAGAAACCCAAGTCAGTACCAAAAACCTAACAATCTTGTAAGTCACGTGAAGGACCTATTGCCACATCCAGGTCAGGGACTTGACCTTGTCAGAGTATTCTTCCATGCTTTGTAACCTTTCCTGAGCATCTTCTTCCAGGTTCTTACAAATCTATTGATCAGCTTCCAAGTCTCTTTTAAGGAAAATACCCAGAGACGCATCCCTCACAACCCTTAAATTCTGACTCAAATACTGCCCTGACACCATTGTGATAAAGCCTATGTTACTTCTCCCTACTACATATATTTGAGTTCCTTATGGTTCTATTCACTGGAGTCTTCTTGTAAGACACTTGGAACCCACAACAACCACTGACTCCAGCATAGAAAGACCGAGTTACTCCATTTCTCATTTGTAAACCCACACATGTACAGCAGCAGTCTACATGTTGCAAGCAAGGGGACTCTCTCCAACATGAAATGATTTTAAATATCTACACTGTTTATCAATAAGAGCAAGTAAACATTTTCTGGTTGAAATTTTATGGGCAGTTTATTAAGTTCAATGTTGAAAGCTATCAGAAGAATATTCTCCTGAAAAAATATGTTTTTTCTTAGAAAAAAAAGAAAGGAAGATCCAAACCCTCTCAGCATAGCCACAGATGCTGTGGCAGTCACGCCTCTCTGGAGTCAGGGACAGTCTGTCAGTCTGAGTCACTCTCTGCGGCAACAGGATTATAGTCAGGATCATCCTCGCCATCCTCCAGCTCCAAATCATCCATTTCCTGGAACAAGGACTCATCCACCTCCACGTTGTTCCCAGCTGTGAAGAGCAAGACAGCCTCGCCTTATACACCAGAAAAACACAACCACTGTGTAGAGGGGGGAGTGATGACTCCCAAGCTACTAGTGAAAACCCTTCCTACGTTGATCAGCAGAGACTCTGACAATAGAAGAGCAATCACATCTTCAAGATTATAGCCTAAAGTCTCGCTATTTAAAAAAAAAAAAAAGCTCACAGAATATTTAATGACAATGTAGCACGTTACAGTTGAAAACAATGACTCTGTCTTCTACACAGTGCACCATCACAGATCATCTCATCTAGTGGTGGCAGATACACACATCATCAAAACTCAGCTGCACTTCTTAACTTTCTGTCAGATACAGGTTGCCTTGTATGCTTGCCTAGTTCCCTTTATATACAACAGATGGCAAAAGCTCCAATGTCTAAGCCTACGAGAAGCACTGGCCAGCCTCTGCCTCAGCCATCATACCCTGAGACAGCCTGAGGTAGCTACAGTAGGGTACCACCATACTCCCTAAGCTGCACACATTGTCTTCCTTCCCTCTTGAAGTCTAACTTATTAACATTCAATCCAACAAGAATATAAAGAGAGCCTTGAGCAGTTCACAGCTAAAACTGCAATGCACCAAGTCCAGGCCAAAGAATAACTGACTTAGGAGTAGTGAAAGCTTCTCAAATAGTCAGGGTACACCTGACTCCACCAAGAATGTAGGCGTCAGGATGAAGCAGTTCTAGAAGCACAGAAAAGACAGAAGAAGAAAGTAAGATACACCTCATTAGAAGACAAGATTCTCGAGGAAAAATACCTGGAAGTAACACAGGCAATGCCAGACCAAGAGACACTGTGGAGTGTTTTCCCCCATCACAGAATTTTAAAGTTTTATGGTTAAGCATGAGTTTCACTGTCTCAGAAGCAGAGCAGCAACTATAGAATATTTAAGGCCCAGAGAAGGAGAAAGAAATTCAGAGGCTGAAAAGATGGCAAGAGCACTGGCTGTTCTTCCAGAGGTCCCAGATTCAATCCCCATGACCCACAGGGTAGTTCACAACCCTCTGTAACTCGTTTCAGCCGATATGGTGCCCTCTTCTGGCCTCCATGGCAACTAAGCACACCTGCAGTCAAACACTCATACACATAAGGTAAATAAACAAATTTTTTTTTTTTTTTTTTAGGAGTGATTCAGAGAAATGATTTAGGTGGCTACAATAAAAAAAATCAGGCAAAAATAATGAAGCTTTCAAATAAGAGATGGGAGACATTTCCAAAGCAGACACAACAGGTCTCTTTGGGAAGTCTAGAGATGAAGAGACACCCTGACCTAAGAGAAAAAAGGGACTCGTGAATAAATGAAGCCAAACATGTTGGAGTGATGGGGGATGTCCTTCTGTATATGCTTCTCCTATTGATTGGTTGATGAATAAAGCACTGTTCGGTCAATGAGGCAGGAAGATAAGCTCAACCAGGAGATGAGAAGAATTCTGGGAAAAGTAGGCAGGAGCCCACCAGAAGGAGCTGACATGTAAGGACGGGGAAGAAAGGATGTACCAGGTGTTCTCCGGCAAGATAAGACCACATGGAAATATTTAGATTACTAGAAATGGGTTAATAATTAAGACAGAACTAGCCAATAAGAAGCCCAAGCCACTGGCCAAGAGTTTGAAAATTAATATTGGGTCTACGTGTTTATTTGGGGCTGAAGAGGCAGGACCAGGCAGCCAGGACAAAGAACCTCTCGTTACACTGGAGCACACTTGTAATCCCAGCACTTCATAGGCAGAGGCAAGAGGATCTCTCTAAGTTCAAGGCCAGTCTGGTCTACATAGCAAGTTCTGGGTCAGCCACTGCTATACAGTGAGGGAGGGAGGGAGGAAGGGAGGGAGAGAGGGAGATAAAGATAATAAAGTTTCTAAAGCACAAGAGAATGAGATTAGGCTTCAGGGAGCTGGAATTCTTCAGCAAAACAGAAGGGAATATCCTACTGGATTTCTGACCTTTTTGTTTTGGTTTGTCTGAGAGTCTCACTCTGTAGCCTAGATGGGCCTGTAACTCACAGTGCAGAACAGTGTGGTCTCAAACTTGGGCAATTTTGTTCAGTCACCAAGTTCACAAATTATATGCCCAGCTTTGGGTTTTGTTTTTTAGACCATAAAAATAAAAATCTTGACCTATCTGATAGGGAAGAAAATAATATACATTTGAGGAAAAAAAATAATGAGGGCTGGCAGTCTAGGTCAATGGCAGCATTTACTTGCATGCACAAGGCCCAGGGTTCAGTTCTTAACACCACAAAGAAAGGAACAGGATGAGTGATGCCAGTAAGTGCCCCTGTGAGGTCAAGGAAAGGTTTAGCAGATAGTCACATAAACAGTACCTACCCTTCTACAGCAGATAGATAATCCAGTGCATGTTTGAGAGACCAAACCTAGAGAACTCCAAATGACGGCATAGATGCAAGAGAAGGTTAAGGAGACCTACAACCCTAAGAAGGAGCTACTGTGACCAGGTGTGACTGAGCATGGAGGCCAGTCTAAAACCACAAGCAGGCGGTGATCTTCATGAGGCAGGCAATGTGTATAGTGGAGGAAGGACAGTACGAAAGCATCTTGTGGATGGGTGGCTGGTAGTTGCATAGAGAACAAAGGAGGTAAGGGGAGAAGCCAAAGGAGGAAGGCACAGGACAAGATGCTCAATAACTGCACAAGCAGAAGGAAGGGCCGGCTACCCAGCAAGGGATGCCGGGAAAACCCAAGCAGATCGTGCGTTCAGCTCTACAGACTTTTGGGGAAAATGTCACCTGACCTATACTGTCCGTTTACAAGCTGACAGAGGCTTGTGTACTGTAAATGCTGCCCTGAGAATGCTTAAGTCATCAGAAAACTTCAAAACACACATTGCTATACAATTTAAACATTCAGATAGTGTATAAATGGATCATGTATTAGAACTTACTTCAAAATGTGATTTTTAACAGGTTTAGCAGGAAAATTCACACTAAATAAAAATATAAATGCTTCTTAGCCAGGTGTTGGTGGCGCACACCTTTAATCCCAGCACTCAGGAGACAGAGGTAGGCGGATCTCTGTGAGTTCGAGACCAGCCTGGTCTATAAGAGCTAGTTTCAGGACAGCCTCCAAAGCCACAGAGAAACCCTGTCTCGAAAAACCAAAAGATATACATATATATATGCTTCTCATAGATTAAAAGATGACGCATTACAAGCATGAGGAAGTCTAACAGTATCTTACCATCCTCCAGGAACTGGATATCAGATGTGTCAAGATTATGATCTGTTTCAAATAACTGCTTTCCTAAAATAAATAAATAAATATGCTTAATTCAAATGGCATAGCATTCCTTCATCACCTACAATCACTTAAAAGGGTAAGAGCTCAATAAAACAAATCTGAACATCTGTATTTCTGGGAATTTCAGATCCTCAATATTCTTACCCAGGATCCAGAATACAAATCAAGACTCACCAAATATAAAACAAGGATATACCGTAAACAGTAACTGTGTATTGTGTGTGAAGAGACACTTGTTTGCTATGGGAACCTGTCCTGAACATCTTTGCTGTCAGGGAATGGCACAGGGTGTGGGGTAGCAGGAGCAACTATGCCACAGAGGCACCCATACCACTTAGTTTAGGCATCTTTGCTCTCGGGGCATGGCTCAGGGTGTGAGGAAGGAGTGACTATGCCACAGAGGCACCCATACCGCTGAGTTTATTTTTCCCAGCTTGTTCTTCTTCTTTCATCCGTTTCTTTTTAATTTCCAGGAGCTCTGCATCAAACTTGGCCTTCCAACTCAAGAAATTCTCAATCGTAACAGGAGTGCCATGGAACAGTTTCTTAGAAAATGAAGGACACAAGCATCATGTCAATGAGGCAGTAATTTAACAAATAAAGGCAAAGATTTCATCTTCTAGATACATACACCCATGAAGGAGAAGAACATTAATGATTTCTGCCTGGGCTAGTTCTCTTTAGTTTTAGCAGCTTACTCCAGAAAAGTCAAACTTATTTTTTTTTCTAAAAATTAAAAAAATAAAGATAATATGCACCATAGCTATTTATTATTAAGAAGGCTCTGGGTTTTAATATGTTTTTGGATCAAAAGTAAAAGACTGCCATCAGTCTTTTACTTTATTCAGAGCTTGGAGTTGGTCTCTGTATAATTAGCAACTGCTTAGATCACTGTGACAGGGCTTGATAGTTCAGTACTCATACTGGCTAGAATGATTACAATACTTGTTCCCACATGAGTGAGCTTCATCAATCTGTGTGGTGATATCTTGCTTGTACAAATAAAGCCTGTCTGGGGATCAGAGAATGGAACTTGCCACTAACTAACCATAGAGGACTGGAGGTCTGGACAGACAGGAAGTGAGGTAGCTGGGCAGAAACAGGATATAATCTGAAACAGGAAATTGCTCTCTTGTCTACTAAGACACTAAGGAGGTAAGGTGTGCTATGGCTTGCTCCTTCTCTCTGATATCCCAGCATTTTCCTCTATATCTGACTCCGGCCTTTTATTATCTAGACCAATTAAGAACTCCATTTACAAACCTCACTTATAACTCACAATATGTCATCAGCGAAAATTTCATTCCTAGTAAACTTACTAGTTTTGCTATTGTGATTTCCAAAAGCAAGTTACTAAAATTATCAGAAAAAATAGAAAAGCTAAAAATCAAACAAGCCAACAAAGAGATGTGAAGAAAACAAAAACCAAGGTTTTCAAGTATACCTTCTCTGCTTCTTCTGCTTCCTTTTCTTTCTGTTTCTTTTCTTCCTCTCTTCTGGTTTTTATCTGATCGACTATCTCATTTAACTTTTCCTGAACGGCTGTCACAAGAGTGAAGATCATTACCATGCCAAGATTCTCCTCAGCCTGTATAAAATAAAGAGAGGAGGTGAGAAACATACTTCCCAGGGAAGTAAAAGCTGCCCAAAGACCAATGGTTAGTAAATAACTAAACCCCATGTATAGAATATGATTCCTCATTTGGTTACACCATATAGTTGGATAAGTAGACATTTAAAATTTGAGTATAGCCGGGCATTGGTGGCGCACGCCTTTAATCTCAGCACTTGGGAGGAAGAGGCAGGCGGATCTCTGTGAGTTCGAGGCCAGCCTGGTCTCCAGAGCGAGTGCCAGGATAGGCTCCAAAGCTACACAGAGGAACCCTGTCTCGAAAAAACAAAAAACAAAACAAACAAAAAAAAATTGAGTATAGAGCCAGTAGTAGTAGCCTGTAAATCTCAGCACTTGTGAGATGGAAGCAAAATGATCAGAAATTCTTGGCTATATAAGGAGTTTAAGGCCACCCTAGGCTATGTGTGCCATTGTCTTTAACGACTAGGACATGGACATAGGAAACAAGGAAGTATTGTTGTTCTAAAATCTAACAATATAGGCCTCAAACCAAGATAAAGAAAGGGTCATTTCTTAAGGATTAAGAGAATTTCTTTCTTTTTTTTTTTAATTTTATTTATTATGTATACAACATTCTGCTTCCAGAAGATGGCACCAGATCTCATAGTGGATTGTTGTGAGCCACCATGTGGTTGCTGGGAATTGAACTCAGGACCTCTGGAAGAGCAGTTATGCTCTTAACCTCTGAGCCATCTCTCCAGTCCCGGATTAAGAGAATTTCAAGAGGACATTATGATTCTAGGCATGGACAGGTACACACAATTCATAAAACAAATACCCTCAGATGTAACATCAAAAACTAACCCCAGCACAGCAGAGTGGATGACTTCAGTACACAAAATGAGTTGTGAGCTGCCATTTGGGTGCTGAGACCCGAACCCACATCCTCTGCAAGAGCAGCACATACTCTTAACTGCTAAGCCCATTTGGCTAATCCCCTTCTCTGTTCCAGTTGGTTAGTTTAGCTAAGGGTCTATCTTGTTTATCATTTCCAAGATCCAATTCTTGTTTTGTTGATTCTTTGTAATTTTTTGTTTCCATTTCATTCATCTTGGCCCTGTATGTAATAATTTCTTTCAGTCTCCTGATTCAGGGTTTGGGTTCTTGGGTTTCTATAGCTTTGAGGTATCCATTTGAGATCTTGCTTATTCTCAGTGTAGATACAGCTATAAGCTTCCTTCTTAGGACTGTTCTCATTATATTCCATAGGATCTGTTATGTTGTATCTTCATTTTCATTGGTTTCTAGGAATGTTTTTATTTCTCTCTTGACTTCTTCAAGGGCCTATTAATCATTCAATAGTATACTGTTTAATCTCTATACATTTGTGTGTGCTCTAAAGTTTCTCTTACTGGAATTATTTCAGTTTTCCTGTATATTTTGAGACTTGATCTGTTTTAAAGAAAGTTCCACAGGCTGCTAAAAGCATGTATATTCTTCAGTGTTTGGATATAATGTTATATAGATATCCATTTGATCTATAATATTATTTAATTTAGATATTTCTCTGTAACTTCAATTCCAGGAGTCCAGTGCCCTCTGCTGGTTGACATAAGCACCAGGTATACACACAGTGCAAATACATACATTCAGTGTAGTACTGTAAACCTGGTCAAAGGCCCATGATTGGAAAATCATAAACCCTAATGGAGAACCCACTATTGCTGTTTTGCTAAAGGCTGTGTTGTCAAACAGTCTTCTAAGTATTAATGCTGTTCCCAACCTTGGCGAGAATGAGAACTGCACAAAGAGCTGAAAATAAGTGACTGCTGACCCCTCACCCCTAAATGACACATTCTATCCCCCAGAGCTCAGGAAAGTCATGGAAGAGGGTATAGAAAGACTAAGAGCCAGAGGATAGGGAAGCATTCTGTGTCTTCTGCACAGGCATGCATAGCCATTGTGTTCATGAACTTATGACAGCTGTAGAGATATACACAAAACCTGCACTTGATCAAACCTGTCAGAATTGTAACACTGATGGGAGAGGACACAAGGCCCCACCCTTAGCTGAGGAGCTATGTGCAGTTGGTAGCTTCTATAGGAAGGAGTAGCTTTTCTTCAGGTAAGGCTGATGGTGGGCTGCCCATGCGCCAGGGAATAGTCCCTAGCTAAGTGAATATTGACAGCACTAACTGGTTTTAGTGAGCTTTTTAAGGGAAGGGCTGGGAAGATGGCTCAGTGAGGTTAAAAGCACAAACTTCTCTGAAAGCAGAAGACCAGAGTGCAGTCCCCAGCCCCTACATCAGACAGTCACAACTGCCTCCAGGGCCAAAACCTCTGGGGGTAGCTGCACTCCATGGAACAGACACACATGCATACACATAATTAAAAAGAAAAGTAAATCTTTAAAACAACAAAAAAGGAAGAACATGATATGAAGATGAGAGGGGTTTGTTGGGTGGGTGGGTGGGGGTAATGCATGAAATTCTCAAATAAAAACTCTGTCTTTTTAAAAGATGTTTTGTGCCTGTGTTTCATTCTGATTGGACAATGTACTATTTACATATACATAAAAAATATTTTCTAGCCAACATTTAATATTAAGTCCAATAAAACATGCTACTGTAAAGCAAAATTATTTACTTACCTGCAATGCCAGTAATTTTAAAATGTCAGAGATATCATTATCTTCTAGATTTTCCTGGGAGAATATTTCATAAAGGGGAGCTTCATCAGGGTATTTTTCACTGTATGTAAACTTCAGAGTAGTCTGCACAGCTAAGGCACAAGATAAAAGTTTAACGGAAATACATTCAAAGTATAAAAAAAAAATCAGTGTTTCTATTGAGTCAATAATTTATAACAACAGTGAAAAGTAGTACAACAGAATTACTAATTTAAACAACAACCTCAAAAAGATGAGTCAAACATGATGGGGAAGTGCTTCTGTGTATGTGGTTTATCTTATTGGATGATAAAGTACTGTTTGGCCAATGAGGCAGCAAGTTAGGGGGCACTGGGAGTCAAGGAGGATTCTGGGAAATGTAGTAAAGTGGTGATCCAGGCAGGAAATGACATAGCAGGGAGACTCATATATAAACAAGGGCATGAAGGAAGTGGGCCCTTCTCTCTTCCTGCAGTCACCATGTCAGCCTGGGAAGACAGAATGCTTGTCGCTGGCATTCAATAAGATAAGTCTTATAAAATATATAGATGTATGATAATTAAGACTGAGCTAGCAGATGAGAAATCCTAGTCATTGGCCAAGCAGAATCTCACACGGGTGGCAGAAAGATTTATCATAACACAAACAAATCAAGGAAAAGGCAAAACTCTTCCTGCCTGTGAAACACACCTAGTGGCATTTTACTATACTTTATTTCAGAGGGCAGGCAATATCCATTTAAAAAAAAAAAAAGTTCTGGCAAACAAAAAAATTAATTAAGAATAATATTGCCCTTTTTTTTCCCCCTCCGAGGCAAGGTTTCTTTGTATAGCATTGGCTGTCCTGGAACTAGCTCTGTAGACCAGGCTGGCTTTGATCTATTGCCAGTCTCATACAGTCTCACATTCAATCTTTACTAGAGGAAATTCCTGACTGCAGAAGAGTTAGCCTTAGACTGATTAATATTCAAACATGCACAGTGATAGCAGGCTGTTGTTAGCTAGGTGACACATTTTTTACACTGGGCAGTTTGAGAAGCTAGCTGGGAATTTTTTAGCTAGATTAATCGACTAATCTACACTAATACTAACTTTCTGTTTTATGCCAGTTTATTGACCTGCCATTTAAGAGTGAAATTATTTTTGTTTTTGTTTTTGTTTTTGTAGACAGGGTTTCTCTGTGTAGCTTTGGAGGCTGTCCTGGCACTTGCTCTGGAGACCAGGCCGGCCTCGAACTTACAGTGATCTGCCTGCCTCTGCCTCCCGAGTGCTGGGATTAAAGGTGTGCGCCACCAACGCCCGGCTAAGAGTGAAATTCTTATGAGTACACTAGTGCAAGATAAACATTGCAGCCCAGCACATAGGTGATGAGTACACTAGAGCAAGACAAACGCTGCAACACGGCACATGGGTGCTCTGGTCCACGGACAGTTTGAAGGCATTCAAAAATGATGACACTTTGGAAATAAAACTATGATCTTTTATTTATAATTTATCATTCCTGTTATTCACATTTTTATTATTAAAACCTAGTGATTATTTGCTTTGTATGAGGGGGTAAGCCACAAAGCACATGCGGAGATCAGAGAACTTACAGATGTTGGTTTTCTCTGGGAATCAAACTCAGGTTGACAGACTTAGCTGCAAGTGCCTTTTCCCACTGATCAGCCCAATAGCCCACTGATTATAATAAAGTAATTCAAATTAATATTGTTCTCAATTAGAAGCCTAAAGCCTACAGGCCTCATATTATTTTAATTTTCATGTTAAATATCAATAAATATTTTTATGGGTCTCTTGTGGTGGTACATCTCTAAGCTGAGCATTCAGGAGGCTGACCTACAGGGATGATGAATTCCAGAACAGTCTACATAGTGAGACCCTACATCAAAACATTTTTTTTTTAATTTTAATCAAATTAGATAAGTTTTGAAAAGCACATAAGAACCAAAACTGGGGACACAGGCAGCTCAGTGTGAGAGTGCTTGCCTGTGTACTCAAGACCTTCTTCATTCAACCTTAGTGCTGTAAAACAAAAAAGCATTTGAGAGACAGGCACAGGCAGAATGACTGAGCATGTTAAGGCCAGCCTCAGTTACACAGGGAGATCCTGTCTGGAACTAGGATGCAAGGTATGGTGTGCACCAGACAGAACTTGTGTTACACCTGAGAAAAACTCTTGAGACTGTCAACTTACATAAACTTTTTTTGTTTTCTTTTCTTTTTTTCAAGACAGGGTTTCTCTGTGTAACAGCCCTGGCTGTCCTGGAAATTTCTTTTTAGACCAGGCTGGCCTCGAACTCATAGATATTCACCAAGTGCTGGGATTAAACGAGTAAGCAACCACCACCCAGTTTATATATAACTTTTAAAATTACTATATTAACTGACTTAGACCAAAAATAGGTAACCTTCATATTATCACTAAATTTCATTTCTTTAGCTTACTAGTTTTAAAGCTGTTTTATTTTTAGGGAGTGGGAGAACAAAGAGAAGCAAACATGTGTACATTCAGCCTGTTTATAATAGCAAATGCTCAATAATCTATATTTCCAAAGAAAATAGAGGCATTTGAAAAGTAGTAGCCACTTGACAAAAACTTTGAACAAGAATCTCCACCTCTCTTCATCTACTGTCTTGTTAACCTGAATGCTTCATTTCTAAACACCAATATAATGTGCCAGACTACAGAGCCTGGACTGCCTCTGTACCCAGCAGTAATAGCTACATAGTAAACATGCGCTACACAGAGCACAGCGTCGCAGCACCTCGGCACCTGCAGTGCCCTGCACAAGGACTGCCGAAGAAGCAGAAGCCCCAAGGAGCCAAGAAAAACCAGAGTAACTCCGTTATGCTTACTTTCATCATTTTCTTCAGCCTCCGACGTCACGGTAATGGTGAAGCTGGGTGGAGTTTCTGATAACACTGCAAGAAAATATACACAGCAGTTATTAGGATGCTTCTTATAGTGGGAACTTCCAGCAATTTACCAAGACTCAGCACTAGACATTCATACTGGTAAAGAACTCTCAAACCAACTAAATGTTATGTCATTTATATTTTATTCCAAAATCTACCAGTATTTGAAAAATGTATTCCAAATCCCAAATAGAATGATAAACAAAAACTCTGGCATCTTTTCACCAGCCACACCTACAAATATGTTATGATGGATTTTATATTATTTTATTATTTTCTACATGAAGCCAAATCTAATCTTTGCAAAAGACTGGGCCTTTACCATCTTTCACACAATAATAAAAAAAGTTAGGTAAGAATCTGAACATCAAATTACTTAAAACTTTGTAAGCGGGACATGTAAGCAAGCATTTACCTAGATAAGGACGCTTCAGAGACCACTTTGTGCCCCACACAAGAGCATTATAAAATGCTGTGAGGAACCCCAAATCAGTGCCCAGTGGGCTTGGGAAATTGAGTAAATACTGACTCAGTGGAGGAAACTAGTGGACAAAATGGAAAAAAAAAAATAACAAAAGAAAACATTAAAAACCAAGTGAGAAGTAACCAGAAAGCCTCTAGCTGCAGGGCTGACAGCAAGCCGTGTGAACTCTGGAGAGCACAGATCACTCAAGAAGCCACCATGGAGAGGGACTGCATGACTTTAAACTGCCCGGGTACTTCCTGAAACACACGTGATCAGTAATGTCTTTAAGACAGAGGACCTCATTGTGACTCAGGGTTAAAACACAATGATGAGTATCTATGATGACTCAAAAGCAGTTTGCCCAAAGATGAAGCACTCTCCCTACGTCACAGTCTCAAACAATATACCCCTTGCTGGAAAAGAACTAAAAGCTTCTTATAAGCTCCAAAATGGGTTGTTCTTACCATGTTTCATTATTCTTCCTTAGCATTATTGTATCACAAAAGTAAATGCTGTGGCACAGAAATAAATGACATGCCAACCAACAAGGACTCCAGGAGGCTATTAGCCTAACAAACACAGCCATGCTGATTGAACACCACACTGTACTTGTGCTATGCTATATATTTTAACACTAATCCTTTAAACCCAATACCAAGACCAGGGGTTTATACTCTTAACTACAGTCCACCAAATTTAAGATATTGAACACAAAATAATTTACCTTATAAACCACTAAAAAAGATGCCAATTAAACTATGATATGTAAGTTCTTATGTCAATCATGCTCAAATTTAAGACATGCATCTCAGAAACAGCTACATACACTGTGACCTCAAGGCCACAGATGTGACACTGAGCGGCAGCTTTCACATAAATTACCTACATACACTTCTGCAGCTGCAAGTGGCAGAACTGTATAAACCACACAGGGCTTCACTTAAAAAGGAAAAAAAATGATTTCCAGGTGATAAACTTCAGGAATATTATTTGAATGAGACTGTGAGGTGGCAGAGCACAATGGTTGGGAAGCTGAGGACATTTAAAGAAGAACTGTTTTCTGTGGGATGGATATGCATGAGTGGACTTGTGGAAGACATTTCACAGTGTAGCCTAGACAGTAACAGCGCTAGACCCGTGTCTCTGCCCAGGGCAGTACATCTAGGAAGAGTGCACAGGATCGGAGGCTGATGAAACTAGGCAACTTGTACAATCAGACAAAAATAATGAGGTTCTGAACTAGAATGGGAGCCATGGGAACAGAGAAAATTAAGATGATGAAGACAGGTTAAGTTTGCAGTCGAATATGGTGCCAGTAAACCAAACACCAGTACAGAAAAAATCAGACGTGATATATTTTAAATAGAGGAAAACCTGCAGAGGTGAGGAGTGGACAGTTAGAAACAAGCAAATAGGAGAACCAAACAAGGTTTTAATTTAATTTTGGTCTTCTGGTAATAGTCGAGACTATCAGACTAAGGGGATCATTAGAATTAGATTACTGAGATCATTAGAGACAAGATAAAAGACAAAGGCCAACAGCAGCTTTGTAAGGGGTCCTTAATTTGGAGAAAAAAGTGAGAGGAAAAAACTATCAGAAAGGAAAAGGTGGCAGCCACAGAAGATAGTAACAATCAACATCTAAGTGTAACACAAATCACAGGAAAAAGAGTCTAGTGGTGGAAGATAACCTTGTTACCCCAGCCCAGCCCCAGCAGCACCTCTGCTCCGTTTTCTAGCATGGACATTTTATCACCTTACCTGCTTTTATAAGCAGTTCTCAGGACAGGTCTGGTGGCACCTGTCTGTAATACCAGCATTTAGGAGGTGGAGGTAGGACAAAGATGTGTTATATTTGTTTATGCTGCGTTTAAGATGCTGTTAAGATGTTACTTTGCCTGTCTAAGGCACCTGGTTGTTCTAATAAAAAGCTGCACAGCCAATAGCTAGGTGGTAGAGGATAGGCAGGGCTGGCAGACAGAGAGAATAAGTTGGAGGAGGAGGAATCTAGACTCTGAAGAGAGAGAATGAGGAGAGAACAAGGGAGAAAGAGGAAGATGCCCAGGGCCAGGCAGCCAGGCAGCTGCCAGCAGCCAGACATGGAGTAGTACATACAGAATGACGGAAAAATTAAAAAGCCTGAGGCAAAATGTAGATGAAGACAGTTTAAATTAGGCTAGTGGGACAAGCATAAACTAAGGTCAAGCACACCTTTAATCCCAGCACTCAGGAGGCAGAGGCAGGCGGATCTTTGTGAGTTCGAGGTCAGCCTGGTCTCCAAAGAGAGTGCAAGGATAGGCTCCAAAGCTACACAGAAAAACCCTGTCTCGAAAAGACAAAAAACAAAGCAAAACAAAAACAAAAAACAAAAACTTAGTAAATGAAGACACCTAAAGGACACAGACAGGTGAGCAAAAATAACACTAAACAGCTAATCTCAGACAACAGAATAGGGAGGAAAGGTAGAGCAAAATTAGTAGAACTACCAATCCAAAAGAAAGCCCAAGAGGACTGTAAGGCCATGGGAACACAAAACTATAGGACTAAAGGTCAGAGACAGGGATCTCTCTGATGTCCACATGCAGCAGAAAATCAAAATTATTAGCTAATGAAGATGAAGAAGGATGAGGCCCCACTAACAGAATTATCAACACTTAAACAGTATGTTTCTAATAAGAACTCTTATGCTTACTGAACTGTTACAAAGTATTTACATTTACATTACTTCCCATCAAACACTTGAAGAAATCCAGGCTTGCAAAGGACACCACACCAAGCTGCCACTTTAAAGAGGGAGAAATAAAGGAAAATGGATACAGCTAAGAAAAAACAAATGCCAGAAAACTCTATATAATGGGATAAGTTCCTGCTACAAAAATGAAGACACATATGCCTTCCGACAGTTACCAGGAAATTTTCTTTAAAAAACTGCTAGCTTCCCCAACCTAGCCCCACTTTCAATCTTTTATGTATGCTGCTGCTGCTGCTACCAACTTGACCAAGATGGTGAGACCACACCTTAAGGATGATAAACTAGAAACCCCTTCCTGAAGGAATTTTCCTGAACAGATGCTGCCATGAGACTTTCACCTATGTTAAAAAGTAAATTTTTGCCGGGCGTTGGTGGTGCACGCCTTTAATCCTAGCACTCGGGAGTGCAGAAGCAGTTGGATTTCTGTGAGTTCGAGGCTAGCCAGGTCTCCAGAGCGAGTGCCAGGACAGACTCCAAAGCTGCACAGACTCTGTCTCAAAAAACAACAACAAAAAAAAAAAACAAAAAAAAAAATTGTCATGGCTGATTCTAAAATCAATAAATTAATTAATAATAAAATGAGGGAGGGAAGAGATAATGCCAATGCAGGAATCGGGAAATTATTCAGTTGTATTTGCAAAAATCAATGATTCCTGAATTCTGTTTTGTTCTTCAAGATGGGTTTTCACCATGAAACCCAGGCTGGCCTGGAATTTCCAATCCTCCAGACTCAGGCCTCCAAGTGCTTGGATTACAGGAATGTACCACACCTGGTAGATTCCTGAGTTCTGCTGATGGTGATATCTAAAATCTATGTCTACAGGCTATATAAACAACGTTGTTTTTCCACACACAAAAAAGCCCACAAGCCGGGCGTTGGTGGTACACACCTTTAATCCCAGCACTCGGGAGGCAGAGGCAGACAGATATTTGTGAGTTCGAGGCCAGCCTGGTCTCCAGAGTGAGTGCCAGGATAGAGAAACTGTCTCGAAAAACCAAAGAAAAAGGAAAAAAAAAAAAAAAAAAGCCCACAAAACAAAAACCAAACCAACCAACAAACAAAAACCCAGAAAGCTCCTATTAAGTTGGTCCTTTGGTTGATGGGGGTACCTAACCTCTCAGAAAGTATTTCTCAAAAACAAACAAACAAACAAACTGCTTTCACAACATGATCTCCACTCTTTATGATACAGTCATAACAGTTGAGTGCTAATGACTTCTATTCAGAGACTGACAGAACAAATCCAGGATCCTGCCCACTCTTGGTAAAACAAACAGAATTAAAGGAACTTGGTTTTGGTCAACCACTGACTTCTTAAAAACTCCCACTATCTCTGGGCGTTGGTGGCGCATGACTTTAATCCCAGCACTCGGGAGGCAGAGGCAGGAGGATCTCTGTGAGTTTGAGGCCAGCCTTGTCTCCAGAGCAAGTGCCAGAATAGGCTCGAAAGCTACACAGAGAAACCCTGTCTCGAAAAGACAAAAAAAAAAACAAAAAACCTCCCACTATCATATATCCTACCACAGACATGGAAATAATTAACTTCTACTACCTTAGCAGATCTGTTAAATGAAGCACTCCTGATGGAAAATGGCATCAAGAGAGTCCATTGACACTCTGCAAAGCTAGTTGTTAGGAGGGTGGGTCAAAGTGCAACCAAGCTACCTAATAGGCACAAATAAGAAACTGAAGTATGGTGACAAGAAATGCAACCCTGCACCACAAGGTCATCACAAATAGAACATCAGCAAACTCTAAGTAGCAGCAAGGTCTGTGGGCCACAAAGGTGCCTTTTGGGTAGCACGAAAGGTCAGGTGTACCCAACAAATGCTTTCTCTTAGTTCACAAGTATCCATTAAAGAGAGGGTAGGGTG